ATTGGTGGTTGTTTTTCGAAAAGTTATTGATTTCGAGAAGGAAAAAAAATGTTGAAATTTTCAACATGCGAAAATTTCCAATATGAAAAAAATTTCAAAGTTAGTGATCCCAAAAAAGGGAAAGGAACGTGCGGAAATTCTCAACGTTCGGTGATAATTTTTGAGTAAAATTTGAGGGTAATTACGAGTACGGTTTGAGCGAGTCGCGAATTCTGAGTTCATTGTATCCGATACCGGGTGTGAATGAATGGGCACTGAGACTGGTGGCCGTGTACAATATCGCAAAAGGGAAATTTGCACCGCTGATACAATCGAAAGTATTTGCCGTTAGTGAACAGATTGCTGGACAAATCGCGTATACACTCGTGCCGTTCACGGATTCGTTGATAAATAACGATATGCGGTGCGTTTCTTCTTTCTTTTGAGTTGTTGACTTGACGTAAGGCTTTTGGTTGGTGTTATTTAGTTTTGTTTTGATGATTGAATTATGAATCGTATTTTCATTTCATTTCTCCAATTTCGTCGATGCTTTGATTCACGCTGAATATTTTAAATAAAAATGATGATTCCATAGAGAGCAAATGAAACTATTTTATGCAATATTATGGAAATGCACGATGAAATTATTCACTTGCGTAATATTTAATCGTAAATTTAATTGGTGGTGTCCCTGATGAAATGTGAAAAGTGATTCCATTAACGGCTGGTCAGCACAAAATGATTTTGTGAAGAATGAGTTTTTACAGCGAAATTTGTGTTCGAATTCGTGTTAGTGCGGATGATGCAGGTTATTCGGCTGCGAAATGGGAGAGTTTGGAGCAGGAATATGCGATGTGGAAGGATTTGCTGGATAATCAGGTAGAGTGCAAGCACGTTTTGTTGTTATTATCTGTTGTTTTTGAAGTTCTCATTGATGCGATATTCAAGAAAATTAACGTTTCGTGATTTTTTGTCGAACTGAAATGAGTGATTATGAGTAATGGACGAAGTGATGGTTATGGAGATATTGTTTTATGATACAATGAATTGTTTTTGTTTGAGTGATATAATATAATAGTTTGTAAAATAGAGCAGTGCTTTGCAGTTGGTACCAGGCTTGTTCA